TTTCAGTGAACATTTTTTCACTAATACACAACATCAATTTGCTTAGTAAAAAATTGAGTATTTGTATTACCCGTTTACCCGATTATTTTCGCGGATCATCAAGTGAGTCAATACTTTTTTTAGGGGAGTGTATGTGTAACATGGATCACAATGAACAAAAAAATTTAGTGTGTATATAATAAATATATATATACATTAAGTTTATTCCTATATTACCACCATCATTACCACTGTTATCTTATTCTTGTTCTACTGCTACTGCTACTGCTACTATTGCTTTTAATTTTCCATTATTATATTTGATGCCATTACATTAGAGAAAGTTAAATCTTTCAAAGAAATTTATATAAATGTTCTATTTATGAATTGATTATATTTAATATTAATATTTGTCAGCATATCCATGTCCATTCACCATATTATATTGTACTCGGATAATTAATTGCATATATAACTATTAATAAAACAAGTATTAATAGATAGATATGAATAAGAACGTTACATCTACCTGTAGTTTTTCTTGAATTTGTAATATAAACGACAGCCCTTATTCATAAATAGTTTAATAATACCATAAAGAAGTACCTCTTTGGTAAACTCCACAGGTATTGACGTATTAGAGATGGCCTGCCTTTAATGTTATCCTTATTATTGAAGAAATAAAAATATGCACTCTCTCTAACGAATTCCTCTACAAATAAAATCTCTCTATAATGTCACCGATTCATTTTCCTACTATTATAATTAATTTCTTTCTCTATAACGAACATCTTAGTAATCACTTTTTATAATGAACAAAAGCAAAAAAATCACAGAAGGTTCGTTGTAGAGTGAGTAAACCGGAAACTATTCTTTAATAAGAATCCCATGAAATAAATAAATGTTTAAAAGTAATAAAAAATAAACGTACAGTCAAATAAAAGCAACATAAAGAAAAAGTCCCAGAAGAGTTAATGCTATGTAATTGTACCTTTTACACATTTTCACGGACGTGGTCCTAATACCTTTAAATATTATCGGATGGTAAAGATGGTGTTTTACTAATAGGCGTGTACCACTTTTCTATACTTGCTTTAGCGAAAGAGCAAGGTATATATGCGTGTGTTTTTCTTATAATAAAAAATAATAATGAAATAAACTTTAATAATTTGTTCTCTACGAAAGTTATACTTTTCTCTTCTCATCTAACTCATCTATTTGATCTTAAAGTTGAAACATTTATAGAGCGGTTTTTTTTATATTCTCATTCTTATATTAATTAATCTATATTATATTTTATAATAAATTTTTATTTACCTTATTATTATTATTATTACTATATATTTTATATCGGATTCCGCTTATTTGGCTCCATATGAGCCTTTAGAATGATTCGCATCAAAAACATATCCCAAAAATTTAAATGAATGCGCGTAAGGAAAAGATAATAATTGCATAGTCATTTAATGAATGGCATTACCTATAACAAAACGTATTTTGAGTACTTTAAACAATTATTCTAACCATTAGTTTACTATGTTAAAATATATTAATTTCCATTAATTGTAAGCATGAAGTCATCCATCTTCTTTATTCTTCAATTTACTTTGTTCATTTTCAAACACAAAATCACCATCAATTTCAAGTAAGAAATTTAGGTACTTTTCAACTTTTAATTCCTTTCGGAAGTAATTACTTTTTGACTAATCATCTGATAAAATTAGATCACAGCATCCATATAAACTAATTCTTCGACTTTCTTTTATGCTGCAATTAGTTCAACTAAGCCATCATTATTAATTTTATCAGAATTCAAATATATTTTTATACCTTTGATATTTTTGTTAGCATAAGATAACTTAAAATTTATGATGACCAGAAAAATTCGTTACTACTCCAAATAAGTCTAATTACCGAATGTTTTAAAATTACTATACTATTATTATTTGAAATCAAAATAGATGAAAATTTCATTGTAGTTTATATTAATGGCAAATTTAACATAATTATATAATGGTATGTGGGTTTTGTTTTCTTTGATAATTCAAATTTTAGTTTAATGTCATTTTCCTCAAAGAAATTATCCTCTTCAAATAAACGCTCGATTAAATTTTGCAGTATTTTCAAAATAAAACGGATTTCTCCACAAGCTTAGAATACTGAAAATATGCTATTGTTTATTAACTAGTGTGTAAGGAAACAGTGTTTTTAAGATCATCTTCAAAGTATTTAATTCCAGTTAAAAAAAGTTCAGGAGATAGAATTGTCATCTTTGCCTTTTTTGAAAAAATGGAAAATGAATATGAAAAAAAAATTTTTTAGAGTTAAGAGAAGCAGTGGAAGAAAGTAAACTTATTTATATTTTATTAGCAATTATAATATTATGATTTGTATTATTATATTTCTCGAAATTTTTGTATTATTTACAAAAATCATTTCGATATTATTATAGCAATAATTAAAAAGAAATATTCAAGCAAGATACATTATTTAAGAGTATTGGGGTTTCAACTTCAAATAATCTTCATTTTTACCAATAGTAGCAACTCTGTTTGTAATTCTCTTGAGAATATCTTTGTTTCTTTCATCTATATTAATTTTATGCCGAAATTTTTTAAGGATGCCTTTAACATTAAGCTTTTCTTCTCTAATCAAGTCACATACTTCTTTTTCAGAGATCAAGTTGGCGTCAGAAGAGCCACTACTAGTGCTATCAACGGATGCAGTTGATGATGATTGTTGAGTGGTAGTTACATTCTTTGAAGTTGTTGAAGTTGTAGTGGATGCTAGTTTTAATTTCTTTTTTTCTCTCTTCTTTTCTGATTCAGTTTCGACAAGAGTGGATGTTGTTGTCACTTCATCTTGATTATCAAGTGGACGTTTCCTAGAGGATTTAGTGGTGGTAGTTAATAATGGAGCGGTGACTATTGAAGTTGATAATTCTGTAGGTGACAATTTGAGTTTCTTTTTTTCTCTCTTCTTTTCTGAATCAGCAATTTCGATAGGAGTTGGTGTTGTTATTGTTAATTCATCTTGATTATCGAGAGGTCGTTTTTTAGAAGATGTAGTGGTGGTGGTTGATGACGATGAGGCAGTGGCTGTTGAAGTTGATGAATCTGCAGACGACACGTTTAGTTTCTTTTTTCCTCTCTTCTTTTCTGATCCAATTTCAACAATAGTGGACGTTGTTGTAGCTGTTGATTCATCTTGATTATCAAGAGGTTTTCCAGATGTAGTGCTAGAGGCAGTGGTGGTGGTTGATGACGATGAGGCAGTGGCTGTTGAAGTTGATGACTCTGTGGACTCCAAGTTTAGTTTTCTCTTTCCTCTCTTTTTTTCTGATTCAGTTTCGACAAGAGTAGATGTTGTTGTAGTTGTCGATTCATCTTGATTATCAAGAGGTTGTTTTTCAGATATAGTGCTAGAGGCAGTGGTGGTGGTTGATGACGATGAGGCAGTGGCTGTTGAAGTTGATGAATCTGCAGAAGACACGTTTAGTTTCTTTTTTCCTCTCTTCTTTTCTGATTCAGTTTCGGCAAGAGTAGATGTTGTTGTAGTTGTCGATTCATCTTGATTATTGGGAGGTTGTTTTCTAATTATCAGTTTTAGTTTCAGAGGTGTTGAAGTTGATAATTTTGATTTTTCTTTATTTGTTGATGTTGTATTAGGTGATGATGATGTTGTTGATTCTGTAGGTGTCAAGTTTAATTTCCTTTTTCCTCTTTTCTTTTCTGATTCAGTTTCAACAAGAGCGGATTCTGTAGTTGTTGATTCATCAAAAGTTCGTTTTCTAGAAGAAGAAGCGACTGTTGAAGTTGATGACTCTGTAGACTCCAAGTTTAATTTTCTCTTTCCTTTTTTCTTTTCTGATTCAGTTTCGACAAGAGTAGATGTTGTTGTAGTTGTCGATTCATTTTGATTATTGGGAGGTTGTTTTCTAGTTATCAGTTTTAGTTTCAGTGGTGTTGGAATTGATAATTTCGATTTTCCTTTATTTGTTGATTTTGTATTAGACGATGATGTCGTAGGCGATGATGTTGATGATGAACTGGCTATTGCAGTCAAAACAGATTTTTGTTTTAATATAGATTTGGGTTTAGCTTTTGGCTCTAGTTTAGATGTGGAACTTGAAGAAGATGACGGTGTATATGTTGTTAAGCTTGTTGCAAATCTAACTTTTGGTTTACCAGTAGCAGCGGATGCTGTTGATGTTTTAGTGGCTGTTGGTTTAGTTTTGGAGATTGTCGATGACCGAGTAACCGGAGTTTCTTTCTCTTCGTCTGATTCATCAATATCAGTTGAACTTGCATAAGGATCCGATTCATTATCACTATCATAAGCATCATTGTTTTCCAATGCTTTCATGAGTTTTTTTAGATTTTTTCCTTCGGCTGTTAATTTGTTTTTTCTTTTCTTACCATCCCCAAATTCATCATCAGAAATAGCACTAAAAAATCTCCTCCTAGCCGATACTAGATCTCTATGATCATAATCTTGGTTTTGTAAATCAATAATATCCTCTTCGTCATCTTCAAACACCTCTTCATAATCCATTTCTTCGAATTCATCATCATCAAATCTATGATGACGAGATTTAGGTTCTCTGTCATCATCATATGATCCGAATAGAGGTTCTACTTTATCTTCTACAGTTTTAAGACTAGGTTTTTTGTCATAAATCCCACCTTCTTTCTCCACCAATTCTTTTCCTTTACCCTTTTCAATCGATCTCTTCATAGATAGTATTTCGTTTTCACGATTTTTGTTTAAAAACTATTAACAACAGTATATGTATTAATATAGTAATAATAAATTAAGTGGGTATTTATTTATATATCATCACCATCATCATCATCAATTAATGAACTACTTACTTGTATTGGTGCGTCTTTGAATTCGTCAGGTTTGATCCTTTTCTTAAATACAAACCAACGATCAAGTAGTTTAAGTTCAGCATATTTTTTTCCTTTTTCGTCAACCTATTTTATAAAGTAGTAAATGTATATACATACATTGTATGCATATATATATGTTTACGTATATATATATATAAAATATATAATCTTTACTTTATGATTAATTGCACCATATCTAAAAGGCTCCAGACTCCTTTCTTGTGCAACCCAAGTATTAGTTCCATCAGCAGCCTCTAATACCAAGGGAGGTCCGTAATCGTCCATTGATTTTCTTGTAGCTTTATCAATTGGAGGAGGTGCTAATGGTATAACTCCTTGTTTAGATATTTTCTTAGTTAGTCTTGCTCCACCATAAGGTGCTATTAACGAGAGGTCAACACCATCTCGTGTAGGTAATTTAGTCGTTGACGAGGAGGAAGAAGCTGTTGAATATTTAGTTGCTAACAAGGAAGAAACTCTTGGTGATGTAGATGATGGGAAAAAAGCTCTACGTTTTGAAGTTGCTTTGATATAATCATCCATCGTTCTAGGATTTTTATGAGTCAATTTTACAGGTTGAGCAAAGGTTTTTAAATCTACTTTTCCACGTCCAGAAAGTTTCATTAGATTAAACTCTTTTTTTGGATCCTCCACTGTAAATTTTAATGGAATGGTTTCAGCCAATTTGTAATTTGGTTTTGTTGGAACATCTTTGGCATTTGGAGGACCACGAATACTATTAATCAATTCCTTAAGTTTTTGAGTTACTTTAAGTGGTATTCGTGGGGGTCTTGACGGTCTTCGTGGTTGTGTTTGTGGCTTTTGTGCTGGCCTTTGTGCTGGCCTTTGTGCTGGTTTTTGTGAAGGGAGCATGTTTAGAATGTTTTTTTTTTTTTGAGTATATAAAAATTAAAAAGTAGATGAAATAATTGATGGGCGATGATGTAAATTCATATGACTCATGTTACACGCTGCTGATGTTGGTCGGCGATATATTCCGATGTGCGGAAGGTAATATGAAAATTTGGCTTTTTAATGAAGTTTATAAAGCAACCTGGATTGGTAAAAGCTGATGTAATAGTAACAAAGATTGTATGTTACGAAATTACAAAAGATTCAAAAGATTATATATTGGTATTTCAAATATGCGTTCTTTACACGATCATTTATCACTACTCACTATATAATGCATCAAAGAGGTAGAATTAATAATGATTATTATTATTAGATTAAGAGAATTCATTTGCGTCGTGTGATTTTACGTTATCATTATGTGTTGATATGTAATTTCGTCGCGTACTAGTACAAATTTAGAAACTATCTCCAGAAATTCAAGATTTGATAGGATAATAGTGTTACACGCGCCTTTCAATTTTACACATTGACGACTCCGGATTATCATAATGTTTGTGGCGCAAATTTTTTGTGTTGTTGTGGGTGTTTTGGATATGAAATTCTGATTGGCTAATTTGAATTTCACGCACGTGAATTGCAAATTCACATAAATCCTAATGGAATATTGGTTTCAAAAGACAAAAGAGAAATTATCATAAGAGCTTAAAAATTATAACGTTAGGTAAGATACTATCAATCCTGGAAGAAAAAAAAAAGCTTTACTACAGGAAATATAAGCCAAAAGAAAAGACAGTGGAGCGAAAAGTTATAGAAAGTCATCCAGAAGCGATCTATACAAGTGAAATTCGATTGAGAAAGTTATTCTTGGAAAGTTACATTAGTTGAACATAGTTTCAATAGCAAGCGCTTGTTTCAATAGAGGAAGATTTTACAAATGATTTGATTATTGTTAGTTTATCAATTAAAACCTGAATTTTTTCTTTATAACTTCAAACTCTGCAAGATTCAAAAGACTTTGTAATAAAATTAAACGTTTACAAGAAAATTATCATTGAAATTAATTGAAGTACATGGATTATTAATTAGGAGAATGCATTGGAGATGAGTGAATAATCCAATTCGTAATGAAGTTCTATTATGATAATCTTTTCAATAAATAGGAACTTAATCTACTTCACAGTTAATTATGAAGAACACCCTATTATTAACATAATTTCCAATGTGTATTGTAGATCATGTATCAAACAATAGCACCACTAAACCAATGGTAACCATTAATCAAATTAACTTTAGTTTTTTTTTCATTATTTTTAAAATCATAATGTATTTATTTATAGACAAACCTAATACGGTTTCAGCAAAAGGTAGCAACAAAAAAAAGTAGCAGTCAAACAAAAACAAAAATATGCGATTGATACTTCGGCATCTTTTTGTGACAAAATTATTGACTCTGCAGCTCTTGTAGGCATATTTAATCAACTTATTATCGGACACAACCAACCTGACATTTTTACCAATCATTTACATCAATTTCAATTCCATGCAATTTTCATTTATTTGTTTGTTTTCTTGGCAAAACTAATTGTTTTAGGAAAAGTTTCTTCATGATAAATACAAGATTAATAATCCTAAGGACACCTGGGTGATTTAGTGGCAATACTCGTGCCAATGATCATAAAATCACTATTACCACAAATTCTCATGTATTTTCTAAACGATATATGAAATATCTTACCAAGAAATTTATAAAGAAACATTGTCTTCGTGATTGGTTACGAGTTGTTGCTACAAAGAAAGTAAGGATTTTTGATTAGGAAGTAGTTTTGAAATATATATATTTATATTAATTGTTTTCCAAGTAAAATGAATTGTTTAGGACGCTTATCAAATAAGATAATTCAATGTTAATGATGATGGTGATGATGACTATGAATGAAGATTTTAAGAAAAGTTTTTAATAAATTATTTTTTAACCTTATAGCAAAATAGATGATTTTTTTATAATCGAATGTTTCTCCAATAAAAAAATTGTCACTTAAAATCCTGTCATGATTTTGCGTTTAAATCATCCAATCAAAGTAATAATATTCATTGAAGTGTTTATTTCTAAAAAGTAATACAATACAAGGAAGGATACGGACACTATATGATCTAGAAAATCAACAATGGAACAATATCCTGGATTTCTTATACAATACGATATGCATGCAAAAAAGAATGACCTTCCTTAAAAATAAGGATATTCGCCCTCACCTGGATTCGAACCAGGATCCTTTCGGTTAACAGCCGAACGCGCTAGCCGGTTGCGCCATGAAGGCAATAATTCTATCAGATCTCCCTGCAGAGTTTTTTACTATAAAATTGATAATCAATTGATGATGATGATGATGATGATGATCATACAAAAAAATTTTTTTTTAAATTTTTTTCCTTCTCATCGTAAAGTAAGTTCTTATTTAAATTTTATTAGAATACTTCCCAATGATTATAACAAAAATTAATTAACCGGAATAAAAAGTCGTGTTGGACAATTATTATCACCAAGATCTATGAGAGAAAACCTTACTATTATTATTATTATTACGTGTATGTATTGAGTTCACTAACAAAATATCACCATTATTTATATATCATAACTTTTAATAAACAAGTAGAAGTACATGGATATTGTTCTTGATGGAGGTTTAGAAAAGATGTGGAATGAAGATTTGCAATTAACTAAAAATATTCAGGTACATATCATCATTATCATCTAATATGCTATTATACGTTTATTTGCAATGATGATTACCTCTACTTATGAAGAGATAAGCAAAAGGAGTACTTAACTATACGTTAAGTATGAACCCACCTATTGCGCTCTTTAAGATGGTGAAAAAAAATAACTGAGCGAAATATTTTAAAAAGGATTATCATCAATTTAATTAATTAATTAATTAATTAATTACATAAAACTAATTTTTTTTTCTTTTATTTTTCTTTTTATTTTAAGAAATTAATTTTAATGATGAAGTCTTTGGTTTGTGATTATGATTAAAATTAAAATTGTTTATAGCGAATATATTTTTTAGATGCATATATTCAAATTATAAATAACTAAATAATTCTCCAACTTCTCCAACAAAATAATCTCCATAATGTTTTTTGGTTTAATAACGTGACCAATAAGAGTTCTGAGAAAGTAAGTCATGTTCTTCTTCTTGAACATGTTGTATTTTATTACTTGTAGCTAATGAAGCTAAAGGTGATTTTTTTGCCGTAATCAATTGAATTTTTTTTTGTTTTTATGATTAGAAAACAATAAAAGTTTTGTTTGACGGCACACCATATTGTATTTCGTTCTCCTGATCACGAATCACAGCATGTCTTTGTGAAAAAGTGACATACTCGTACGTTCTACGACTTGGCCTGACAAAATATACATGTTTACTCTCAACCAAAAATATCCAAATACAAAGTGCCTCGGCTATTGGCCAATCTATCTTTTTTTTCTTTGTTGTTTCTTTAGATTGAGTATTAATTATTCTAATTGTACATTGAACGTTTTGGGTAATCACCAGATCCTTCATCAGATAATTACAACGATCTGCTTTGATCATATAATGAAAGTAATTTTGGTAAAAATTTTCAATTTAATATCATAAAATAGACTATTAAATTTAGAATCAATCGAATCATGATATTAACAATAATAATAAAAAGAAATAGAAATCGGTGGAGGGCATATTTTTGCATGGTATTGATGATAACATTGATAATTTTAACGATAATAATGTTGATAATCTGGAAGAAGATAATGATTAATTTTCATTACTATGAACCGGCCTCTTCTCGGGACCAGTGGTTTCTCTTGGGACTTTCAAGCTTCCAATGTTTAAAAAAAAAATAATTCATGATCATTACAAGCTGGTGAACTTGATAAAAAAACAATACCAGAATACACAGTGAGTCTCGATTTAACGGATATTTTTTTTCAGAAAATTTATCCGTTAAATCGAGAGATCCGCTAAATCGAAACTTATGATCAAATCATGCGATACAAATTAAATGTGTACTATAATATTGTATGTATATTGCAATGTGCAAGAAGAATATTGTCGTAGAAGTTTACAAATGTTATAATTTGAATTAGAAATTTTACTTAATAAACTACCGTATATTTTCTTTCAAAATAAAAAATGCCTCTTCTTTTTTACAAATTAAAACTATCCTTTTATTATTACATTTCATATAATCAAATTGTCTTTACATACATATAAGTTGTGTTAAATTATTATTTTTGACTTTTGAAGTTAACAGCGATACGCAATAATATTAATAATGTGCTTGAGCTGTCTTTAATATCTGAGTTTGAAGCAATATAGATCGATCAATATTTGGTAATGACCTTTACATAGCACATAAGACATATTTTTGTAAGTTTTAATTTCGTTTTCAATTTTTATCACTTTAAATCTTCAAAGAATTTTTTTTATTGTTAAATCATGATAAATCGATTGGTGATGATGAAGTTTAAATAATAATAATGTAATTTAAAAAACATTGTACGCTTGTTACACATTACTCAATTCTCCGCAAAAATCTCCACATTCATTAAAACACCAAGTCGAATTTTATATTTTATATTTT